GAATATTGTGTAACTATAACAATTCAAGTGTAAAACTAAAAATTTACCACCAGTTTTGAAAAAGATTCATCTTAGCTCAGGAAATTGTTATTGAATATGTCAATGCTGTTGTAATGAAATGCTTCTTCTAAGTATGTGGTTATTAAATAAATAATTAACTGGAAAACAAAAAGTAACATCATGAGAAGGAAAAGCCACATCTGTAGCCTAAAAGTTGAGCAGTTACATTATTGGTCCATTCCTTATTGGTAAAATAATTCTTTTAGGACATATTCAGTGGACCAGATCTCAAAGTCCGTTGAAGTAGACTAAGTGAGAGGATAAATCCCAGTTGTCTTTGGCCTGCTTTCTTGTGGAAGGGGTTGCCTTCTGAGCCCTCTTCCCTGGCATTTGTTTTTCTCTCAGGCTTTCCCAGTGATCTTTGTGTGTGCAGGCACACCCTGCTTCTTACCTTAGTGGTAATGACAGCTTAACATTTATATTCTACAGTTGATAAAGCCAGTGCATGGTACAGTACCTCACTTGACCCAACAACTGTAGGGTAGATGTTATCTGTGTGTAACAGACAAACAGACTCAGAGAGGGTAACTCACTTACCCAGGTTACACAGTAAATAACAGAAGTCACCAACTTGAGTCCATCTCTTGAATTAAGGTTTCCTTGTGCCCCTACCCTCAGCCTGGCCACTGTTATCCTAGAAAAGATTAGAAGATTCTAGAAAACACTATTAGATTGAGCTGTAAAGTCAGTTTGAAAGTGATTAGTGAATGTAGCTGTTGTCAACAGTTATGATTATTGCTTCATTTTTTTAAAATTGAAGAATGGTCTCAATGTTTTATTAAGAAGGAGGGGAAGGGGGAGAAGGAAAGGAAAAAGGAATGGAAGGATGCTAAATGTCAAAAGGCAACAAGCTACTTCCTGGTTATCTAGAAACCAAGTTTTTCTAGAATTGAAACAAAGATAGCTAATGAGACACTTTCAAAATTCAGAAAAACTACATGTGAATCTATTTTCGGTATATATAATCATTTTGAAAATGCCAGTGTAGTTTACTTAATGAATTCTACCTTGAATTATTTAGTAAAAGTGGACCTATATACAGTCTCCCATGGTGTATTTTATAATAGATCTATCTATGTGAAGAAGCATATGTAAATGTGTATGTTCACTCAGCTCTAAGTGAATGATTTCATGTTTGTTTATGACTGAACATGATTTGTATCCACTGATGAACTAAATTCCCAAAGAGCACTAGCATTACCGTGGCTTTAGATAGCCACATTTTAGACCAGTAGGGCATGATCTACTTTATTGTTTTATGTTACCTGAGATTATGCTTACATATTATAGGAAAATCATTTTGTTCTCTTTTTAAAAAATGAACCAAGATACAGCTTTAGTTTTGTGGACTTACAGTGACCTGACGGTTGAAATTCCACCACCCTCGTTTACGAGGGCTATGGGCTCCAGCTGGTTTGGATTTGGCGATTTTAAATTATGGTGACATTGTTGTTCCATTATAAAATTCTGTTTAAACTATAGTTTGAAGAAAGTGGGGGCAGCACTTAGATTTTGCTGCTCAACTCTTCCTGTGGCAGGAAGTGGAATTAGACTGATAGGATTTTATAGCTGAAGGAGATTTAATTACATATGTCTCTGCATTTAATAGGCCATGATGAAAGGGTTGACTGGGCCAATAAAAGAGCTGGGTCAAGACCTAAATTTCCAGGCAGCTGTGTACCCTGGAGAACACTAACTGAAATTTCAACCACCTTAATTACCCCCTTAAATACCAATACCTTAAGTAGGCAGTATGCACAAGTGAAGTAATTAAAGAATAGGAGATTGAAACAGAAGTGTGGATATTTTGGGTGTGTGCCAGGAACAATACATGTCAGGGTCCATATCTTAAAGCATTGTAGCTCTTGGGAGCTAATGGCACTTTGAATGATTCCACCCTGCTGGGTAAAGTTTAAGGGAGTTCATTTGTCTACTTCGAAAGGCTATAGCTAATACTTTAATGAGTAGATTCTTGAAAACTAATGATTTTTAAAAGGTTAAATACTAATATTTCCAATATTCAATTTTATAATTTCAGGGACTGATTTGCTTAGTGGTATAATACCTGTACTCTGTCAGAAATATCAAGAATTAAATTTCCTAATTGGAGGAGAGGGACCAAAGAGAATCATTTTGGAAGAAGTACGGGAAAGATACCAACTACATGACAGGTATTAGTGGCTTCTGTGTCATTGCGGGTGAGAAAATGTCAGTTGTCTGTCTTTGGTTTTGACCATACACCTACCTTAAGTGTGCTGCTGTTTCTGTTCATGAGGTATAAAAAAGACAAGGCATGGTTTTGTGAATTTACATCAAGTGAGAAAGCTTATTAGGATGCACAATTTTATTTTTCCATTAGCCCACTATTATTCAGTTTGCGGACAGTTGTTTAAGGCATGATGATAGGCATGAAGGTGGGAATTGGGGGCATTCTGATTGGAAATGTTTTCAGATTATAACACTCCAAGTGTGTATTTACGAGGTACCAATTTTAGAAGGGTTATTTTCCTGTTTAGAAGTGGCACTTATAACATTTTGTTATAAAAGTGTATTATATTCACTAAATAAAGATTAAACTATGTGGCGTGAAACTCAGTAGGTTTCTAAAACTGTTTCTTTTCCATTGATGTTCGGTGATAACATATCTTTTGAGTAGAAAATGTGAGCATCAGTTAAAAATCATACAAACAGCAGACTTATCTTAAGTTCTCTTTTTTTACCCCCTTTCTTTCTCTCCCTCTCATTGCAAAACTTAGGGTGCATCTTCTGGGAGCATTAGAACACAAAGATGTTAGAAATGTCTTAGTTCAAGGACATATTTTTCTTAACACCTCCCTCACTGAAGCGTTCTGCATGGCGATCGTGGAAGCAGCCAGTTGTGGTTTGCAGGTAAAAAGTTTTAAGGGCTTACGTTGTGGGAGTTCTGTATTTGGATTACTTGCTGAAGTAATATTTTTAACTTGTTCTTTTGCTTTTCCTGAGAAATAGCTATGGTGGATCATGTGCTCTTTTTGGTCTTTTTAAGGTTGTAAGTACCAAGGTTGGTGGAATTCCTGAAGTACTTCCAGAAAGTCTTATTATTTTATGTGAGCCTTCAGTAAAATCTTTGTGTGAAGGATTGGAAAAGGCTATTTTCCAAGTGAAGTCGGGGACATTGCCAGCTCCAGAAAATATCCATAATGTAGTAAAGACTTTCTACACCTGGAGTAATGTGGCCGAGAGGACTGAAAAAGTATGTCACGTGCTGAGAAAAGATTGTCTGAACTCCTACTTGCTGTTTTGTGTGCACATTTGCTTTTGTTTACATACAAACTTGCCATTTCTGGTTGTAGTTAAGTTTGTGAACTCCAAGTGAAACAAAGAGAATTATTCATGTGTTAGTTTTGATACACGCCAGGCTAAGTTTCTAGATAAATCACTGCCCCCGGAGTCTGAAAATAGTATTGCTAGAGTCTAGTCTCCTCATTAAACTGTTACTAAATAAATTACAAAATTTTTTAGAAGTTAAAATTAGAAGCAAAACTAGTATATTATGTTGAGGTTGTTTATAATTCTATAGCATATAGTGCCTTTAGCACATACATAGGTAGACAATTGTAGCTACTTTGTAACTTGTGAATACTTAATTCAGAATACTTGCTGAAAAGTCTTGTGCTTTTGCTGACAACTGTGATATTCTTTTATTTTCTTAAAGATTTATCACTTTTGGTAATGACTATGATGATTTTTTTCCTTAAAGATTTATTTATTTTTATTTTATGTGTATGAATATTGGTCCTGAATGTATGTATGTGCACCACATGCATGCAGTGCTCCAAAGAGACCAGAAGAGGGCATCAGATCTCCTGGAACTGGCGTTTTGGACCTTTGTTAGCCATGTGGGTGCTGGGAACCCAACTGGGTCCTCTGTAAGAGCAGCCAGTACTATTTAACTGCTGGGTCATCTTTCCAGCCCACAACTACTATTCTCCAGGAAAAGAGTTTTGCAACTCTAGGCTGATCAAGAATATATTAGAATTCAACCTATACATGAAAAATAAGAAGAATCACAAATATGAAAACAACAGTAGAGAATTTTCCAAAGGGACAGGTACAGGATATATAGGTTGACACCCGGAGGCAAGAGAGGAGGGTTGTGGAAAATGCTTCTGGGTTTTGACCTTAGCACTACATTTACTTTACTTATCCTCATCCTTCAGGTCCTTCTTGGGATGACTTCTGCCTCGTTCCTCTCGTTAACCATGTGCCAAACTGAAGGGAAATAAGTCACTTTCTTCCTGTGTAGAAATCCAGAACCAGAAAGACAGCTCGGTGGAGAATGGAGAGGGTCATAGTTTAGTCTAAGGTTTTATGCTGTCAGCATATTTAGTGGAACAGTGAGTTTCTAGCCTGGAGTAGGAAACACTTTAAATCTGTCTTTCTGGGTTTGAATTATAAGTTCGCACACATAATGGAGCTATGTTTGAATCTAAGTTCCAAAATATCTCTAAATATGGTTGAATAATATATGTTCAGTAATAAGAGATTTTTGGAAAATTGATAAATCTTTTGGTTTAGTTTCTGAGTTACTGACCTTGTAGAAGTCTTGAGCTAGCTCCACCTATTAAAAAAATAGCTACCTTTTCCCGTGGAAGTTGGAATTGAATACTAATTGCCTGTGGGTGTGTATGTCAGAATCACTTGGATAACCTTTTCAGACTCTGTCCCCTCCATCTTCCTGCTCACTTAACTCCCCAGCCACTCCTTAGATTCTGATGTGTTCCTGTGGAGCAGGAATGAAATTTGTCTTATAGTTGGCAGGGATATTTGGCCAAACAGGTTTTTTCGGTGATCTTGGACTCCACCCTGAGTTAGAATCACAGCCCTGCAAATTGTGACTTGACTTGTCAAAATATAAACCTGAAAACTCTGAGCTATTATATGTAAGAAAATCAGGAAAGAACTGTGGTGACACTTTGTTAGCATATGGTAAAGGAACTAATTAACATTTTTTGTAAGGATAATTTTTTTAAGTTGTGCTTTGAAGTAATAGTGAAGCATCCGTGTATGTATACATTTGCAAAAATAAAGATATAAATCTAGCCACAGATGGTGCTTTACACTTGGAATTTCAGCACTCAAAAGACTGAGGCAGGAGGATAACCATGAATTTCAGGCTAGCCTAGGCTGCATAGTGAGTTCTAAGTCAGTCTCCACTACAAAGTGAAACCCTATCTCAGAAAACCAAACAGAAAAAAAGCAAATTCTCATTTATAATAGATTGTCATGTTCCCTTCTTTGCTGTAAATTATTTGTCAATTAAGATAATAAATTAATCGATCTCAAGTGAAGGTGGATGAACAGGTTATTTTGTAACTGGTCTTCTAACTCTATGTTTTGATCTTTTTCCATTCCTTGTAGTTTGACTGTGTTACTTAGAAAATTGATTATAAAATTTAATTGGGGAGTCAGGTATGGTGGTGTACACCTGTAATTCTAGCACTCAGGAGGTGGTAGGAAAACTAGGAGTTCAAGGCCATCCTCAGCTACAGAGTTAATTCAAGGCCAGCCTGGTCTATATAGCGAGTTCCAGACCAGCTGTGGCTACAGGGAGACTGTCTCAAAAAGACAAAATTAAAATTAAATATAAAGTAAAATAATAAAATAATAAAAATGAAATTAAATGAAATTTAAAAATGAAATAAAATGTTTTTACTTAAAATGTCCTCAGGGTAGAAGACCTAGGTGAAAAGTCCCCATAGCTTTCAAAGCCACTGCTCTACAGAAGAACTTACATCGAATGCTGTAACTTTCTTGCATTCATAAGGAGCTGGTTTATGTGTCTAATATTTTTGAGTTGTGGGATCAGCAGTGTTTTCCAAAGCGAGTCATCTACTACCAGTTCTCAGCAGTCAACTGTTTTCCTTACGAGGGCTTCATTTGTGCTGCCGGCTAGAATTTATCCTGTCTTCGTTATCTTGTATTTGCAACATGTGAAATGTTTCTCTGTGTCTCACCATCCACACTCAGTAACATGGATAGCCTTGTGCAGCTATTGAAGACAGAGCCAGTATATCCCCACCCCAGAAGCTTCCTAGATGAAAGTGTCCTGCTTGTGTGTGACGTCTTTGAAGAGGAGCTTTCTCTGCTCAGTCAAGGCATCTGCAACAGTGTGCCTGCAAAAAAATTCTTCCGAACTTAGATACTGATATTTCAGAAGTCACCTGAAATCAGTGGTCACCTCCTAGTTCTTCTATCACACAGTGTCTAGCCCAGATTTAAGTACGTGATAAGCATTGAGCTAAGTGGTGATAATGCGTAATGCATGTGATTAAATTCAATAACGAGGTTCACTAATGATATAACTGACAGTAAACACAAGTGATTTCTCTCCACATGTGTTTGTCAAATGTACCTAGTCATTGCTGGTCTTGGAGTCACTGTTTGTCACAGACATATGGTGGCTCAGAGCACTCATGTTTTTTGTTGGCCCTCTCTCCTCCAGGTATATGAGCGGGTATCGAAGGAAGATGTGTTGCCGATGCACAAGAGAGTCAACAGGCTCATTTCTCACTGTGGCCCAGTTACAGGCTACATTTTTGCTTTGCTGGCCGTGTTCAGCTATCTCTTCCTCATTTTCTTGAGATGGATGACTCCAGATTCTATTATTGATGTGGCAGTAGACGCTACTGGGCCAAGGGGAGCCTGGACTCATCAACAGTCTCGTAATAAAAAAGGGGGCAACAATGATGAGGTATCAGAAACCAGGTAGAAACAAGTCAGAGGTCTGAAGCTTTAGACACTATTAACACGATTGAAAGTAACTTTCCTCTTTTGTTTTCGGGTTTCAAAGTTCATTTGGTAAATTATGCTACCTCTGTGTCATTCAGTTGTTTGTTTTTTTGGTTTTTTTTTTTTTTTTAAGAAAGATAAATATGCAATTCCTGAGTGTAGAAACTCTTGCACTTTGAAATTTTAAGGGAGAACGGTTAAACCACTCAGGTATGAAATTTTTCAGATTACTGAAATCCCTCTAGCAGAGATGTTTTAACATTATATTTTGGGAGCTTTGGGTGCTGAAGGGCCAAATGTTTCTGGATCTTTTTGGCCAGTTTTTTAACATTATACCGTTAATCCTACATTTACCAGATGTTTACAAACTTTCTTTAGGGAGGTACCGTTATGTGAACTATTTTAAGACAAGTTCTTGTATCTGTCATTGAAAATGGAATTCATGCTCTTAGATACTTGTTGGGTTCATTCAGGAAGTGTTACATGTAATCTCATTTCTTGAGCAAGATGGTCTATTGGCAGCCAGCATATTAGCAGCACCTGCTACATACGAAGTGTTGCATTAGATGGTTCCTACCACTAAGGCCTAATCAACATGAAGTGGTAAAATAGCCAACATGCCCAAAATGCTCAAGCTACGTAATGCCAGGAAGTCATCGCTGGCATACTCAAGTATTTCTCTGATGTGCTAGTATGCATTTTCCTAGGAAGAACCCTTGTCCTCATGTGTGTGAGTGAAGAGATGCTGCTTTTTAAGTTCTAGGACCGATATCACTGTTGATACTAGTGCAGACAAACCCTCCGCCTTGGCTATATGCAATTGAGTTCCCAGTAAAAATGCCTTTGTGGTTTTTGAGAAGAGCTTAATAGGTGTGCCGTCTCCAAACCAGCTGCTGTTCTGTCCTTTTGATGGAAGTCACTCTCCTTCACCATGGCCTGGCCAATGTCTGATAAGTATTGCCAGTGTACAAAAAGGCTTTCCTCCAGAACATTTTTATTTCTGGCAAATGAAGTCTAAAACTGACGCAATGCCGTCTCTGTGGGTAGATTTTGTTAACTGATCATTGTTGCCCAGAGCCATGGTTTTTTTTCTTTTTTTCAATCCCAAATTATCCCTATGATCTGTATTATTCTCCTTTGAACTCTTTAGAATAAGTTTCTGGGAGTAAAGGACTGAAATCAAAACAGTAAGGCGTTTGCAGTGCACTGGAGTCTATCAGTATTGTGATTCTGTACAGGATTTTGTAATAACAACATTTGCAAAACTTCTTTTTAAAAAGTATCTTAACATGCCTGTTACTTGGTTGCCACTGATATAAAAGAGATATATTTGTGTTTTGTTTGTATGAAAACACAAATGCTAGAGAGTAATTTTTACAATATAGAAGTTAGGGATTCTTTTATCGGAGAAAAATGAACTGGTCCAAACCATTCACTCTTACTAGAATTTTAATGCATTAAGACAGACATACAGATACGAAATAAACAGTGCCAATATTCACAGTACTGTGAAACTGTTTAACATTTGGTTTCCTTTATTCTGCTATACGGTTTTTAAAGGCACACCACAGCACTACTTTTTTTATGTTTGCTTTCAATTTTTCTCAAAATTGTCATCGAATTCTTCAGTTGTCCTTTATTTAAGATGAATATAGGATTTTAAATTACTTATGTGTGTAAATGTGTAATTTATGAATTAAAATTATTTTCCTTTTTTAACAAATGGAAATAAATTTGTTTGTCTGACATAAATAATTTTCAGGCTTCCTGGATACCTTAATTAAAACTGGCCAGTAGGTGGAAAGGAAACATTGTTCGACTTTGCTACTTGAAATTATTTGAAAGTGAAATTAACCTTGATGAGCAATTTAAAAAGATACTGTATTCCTTTTGATGGTACAGTTATACACATAAAACTGGTCTGTGAAAACATGCTCAAGTCTAGAAATAAAGATGAGAATGACATTTTGACATTTTTTTCCATTTGTCTTATTTTGTGGATAGAATATTATTTACTTGTGGACCGTAACACTTTCTCCCTGAGTGGAGTTTAATGTGTTGCTTCATCACTTAGTAAAACAGGAAGTATCCTTCAGATTTGAGCCATGCTCTGTCATCTTTTATTTCTGGAATATATGCTCTTTTGTACTCTAGAAACAACAAGTTCAATTGTACCTTTGTTTCCTGATCCAAATAAGCCCTTGTTTTTCACTGTGCTAGTTATCGAATAAGACAAATGAATACATCCACACACTATTGTGTGTGAACTACGTAATCACACTTTGTATCCCTATTTTGTATCTCACCAGCTGTTTTAAGAGACATTAGAATTTTGACGTTTTTTACAGAGGCTTGGCTTTTCCCCACCCTTTGTGTCAGAAACAGTGGGAAACAGTTATTTTCATTCATATTCGTTTGCAAAGTCAACCAGGGTACCCTAGATGTTTTCTGTTTGTTTATTTATATGGGTTTTTTTTTGGTGTGTGTGTTTGGTTTTGGCTTTTGAGACATGGTTTCACTGTAGCACTGGCTGGCCAGGTACTCACATGCTACCCTCAGATTCCTTCTCAGAGATCCATCTACCTCTGCCTCCCTAGTGATGAAATTAAAGGCATGCGCTACCATGCCTGGCCACTTGGGAGGCAGAGGCAGGCAGATCTCCATGAGTTCGAGGCCAGCCTGGTCTACATAGTGAGTTCCAGGCCAGCTGGGGCTACTGGGAGACCCTGTCTCAAAAAAGACCAAAAAAAAAAGTATTTTTAAAGAATATGGCTTGATCTTGTGGCATGCGTGGTATGCTTAGAGGCCAGAGGACAGTCTCAGGGGTTGCCCCACAGGCTCTATTCACCTTTTTTTTAAAAAAATCAAAGTGGAATATTATTCTATCCTGAACTATTTGACAAATGGAAGAGTGTAATTCAGGTGTAGTTTTAAAAAGTTTTTAAAGAATATTTTATTTATTATTTTTTAATTTTACCTATAGCAGTTAGTGCCTGCAGAGGTCAGAAGAGGGCATTGGATTTCACTGGACCTGGAGTTACAGATGGTTGTCAGCCACCATGTGAGTGCTGGGAATTGAACCCAGGTCCTCTGCAAGAGCAGCCACTGCTCTTAACTGCTGAGCCATCTCTCTAGCCCCCTAAAATTTGTTCTTATTCTGTGACTGTTCCTCACATGTATATAATGAATTGTAGTTGTCACTCCTCATTATCATTTCACATATCCCCTCCCTCTCCCACTGAAACCCTTCTCAAGTTTTCCTCCAGCATTCATGTCCTTTTTGGTGTGACTCTGAGTTTAAATATATTTGTAAGAGAGGGGATGGGAGGCCTTTACTGGAGCATGGGCATCTCATCAGTGGCCACACCACTGAGGAAAATGACACTTCGTCTCCCAGCAACCATTAACTGCCAGTAGTCCCTTAAGGAGCTATTGGGCCTCCTGAGCCCCTCTTACATTCATGATGAAATGTTGATGGACCCCATCTTGTGCAGGTAACCCCAGCTGCAGTGAGTTCATGAGTACAGTGGTTATGTCATGTCAAGCCCCAACGACATTTTTTTGTGGCATATCTCCCCATCCTCCAGCTCTTACATTCTTTCTGTCTCTTCCTCAGTGTTCTCTGAGCCTTGGACAGGGTGTTGAGGGTTGAGCACTCCATTGTCACAGAGTCACTTATCTTTCTCATTTTTTTGGACAGTGTGTCTCACTGGCCTGGAACTCATCAAGTGGGCAGGCTGGCTGGCCAGCAAATCCCAGGGATCTTCCTGTCTCTACCTCCCCAATGCTGGGATTACAGGCATTAAAATTTTTTTAAATTATTTTTTATTTAATTTTTTTGTCTTTTTGAGACAGGGTCTCCCTGTAGCCCCAGCTGGCCTGGAACTCACTATGTAGAACAGGTTGGCCTCAAGCTCACAAATATCCACCTGCCTCTGCCTCCCAAGTGCTGGAATTAAAGGCGTGTACCACCATGCCAGGCATTTTTTATGTGGGTTCTGGAGACAGGATGCAGGTCCATATGCTTTGCAAGGAAGCCCTTTACTAAGCTATCTCCCCAGCCTCAGATTTTTTGATATTATGAAAATTGAAGTTTTATATAGATTTTTTATTTTATAGTACTTTGGGAAGTTAATTTTATTCATCATTTATATTAGGTTCAGTGGATATCAACTATGAGGTTGGGGGGTGGGGTTGTCCTGCAGGAGACATCTTTAAGCTGCCGGTCTGGAGAGCTTTTTTTTGCATTTTTTTCTTGAGTTTTTACAGTTTTCATACAGTATAGTTTGATAACATTTAGATCTGATCACCTCTCCCCCCTTGCCCCCAGCCCAATTTAATGAACTTTCATATATATAATATGGCCTAAAGAGTATGATTTGTGGCCGCCAGGGGGGGCAGTCACGGGACTCGAATGGATTATCACGGAACTGAAAAAAGACCAGGGGACTCCTGCGATTTCTTCACTTCTATTTCTTCACACACGAGTGCCAAAAGTGCAGGCAACACTCTGCTTTTATACTTGCACTCACTGGAGCTACAGCTGAATGTTTACAGAACAGTGAGTAATAATAAAGAGGCTAGAATACAGCAATTTAGTAAAATATAATGAGCAAAATAACTATCACCATAGTATACCTTCTTGGGAGATGAAAGTGTCTCCCGAAAAACTAGGGGAGTACCTGCATTCCAGAGATAACTCCCCAACGAGCGTCCTTGCATAAACTTTCTCATGAGACAAGGCTCTCCAGGCATACATGCTCAAGGTTACTGCTTAATTGACCAAGCATATTTTTAAAGTGATAGGAACACTATTTCACAGTCCCGTCAGTTACCCAATGTCCTTCAGTGTGGATCCATTCACTGGGCCCCCCAAGAATTCCATCCCTGTAAGACACTGTCTTTTCCTCTCCCAGCAGTCATTAAATGCCAAAAGTTTCTTGGATGGGGTTGGGATTTCTTAGCCACTTCCCCTATGTTGGGTTTTTGTCTGGTTTGAGCTTATGCATTGGCATCAAGTGGGTAGAGAGGAGGGTTGCTGCTAAAGTTTCTACAATGCTCTGGAAGCCCCCCCCCCTTCAACAGAATTATCTGGCTCAGAATGTTCATCACGCTGAAACTGATAAACTCTGATACTGCTGATTATTCCACCTGTAAAATATATCATGAACCAAGCATACTTAGCAATAACTTTTTGTGTCCCTCTCAAATAGGATGCTCATGTATAGTATAAAGCTGATCTCAGAAATAGTAGAGCTATCTGTTTGAGCCAATTTTGTGTACACATAACATAGAACGTTCAGGTATGTTTCAAATGAAAACATCAAAACTGAAAAATGTTATGAGTCTGACATTAGAAAAGCATCACTTGTTCAGAGTACAGTTGAAAAAAGCACAAAAAAGAAAAAAAATACTTGTTTCCTTATAGTCCTGTATTTTCTAGCAGGTGAGGTAGGTAGTGAAGCCTTATGTATTAATATCTGTACCTTGAGAGTAGAAAGAATTCAAAGATTAGTGCTGTAATATGATGAAATGGATGAGCTAAACACTATTCTCATGTGTGGCCTTCATAACAGTGGACTGAAACTGTTCTTCAGAAGTAGTCATTCTGGGGCTGGAGAATCATTCATGACTCAGTGGTTAAGAGCACTGACTGCTTTTGCAGAGGACAAGGTTCAGTTCCCGGCACCCACATGGTAGCTAACAACTGTCTGTAACTCCAGTTCCACGGGATCTGGCACCCTTTCTGACCTCCGTGGGCATTGCATTACCTACCTACATGCAGGTAATACACTCATACATATAAAATAAAAATAATGAATAAAATATTTTAAGAGAAATAATCATTCTGATTTGCCAGAATGTTAGGAGAAAGTCTCAATTTTTTTTTTTTTTTTTACTAATTAACATTTATGTAGTTTGTTCTTAAAATACTGTGTTGGTTTGCACCTTCAGGAGATTTAAAAAAAAATTAGAAAGCATAGTCAAGAATGAAAGAAGAAATAGACTGGTGTGCAAGATTAAAAATAAATTCATTTCATTTGTATCAGCCAACTGGTAAGAGACGATTGCCCACCATCACTGATGCTTGAAATGGATGTTCAAGAAAGACCCTTGCTGTAGGAACTTGTCACCGGTAGAATTACCAGAGTAGTTTTAACACTTCAGTCACTTTCAAACTTTTATTTGGAGAGTCATCTAAGGTACAACTTATATTAAATTACCATATAGCAAAGAGGTTCTTTTTAAAACAAAGAAACAAACAAACAAAACTGGTCTTATTTCTAACTTGGCCTTAATCCTCCATAAACCTCAGCATGCAAAGCAAATAAAAATGCCCCTAGTAATAGAAATTTCTGAAAAGATCACAATATGTCCACACTGCTTGCATGAACAGCAAAGAAATTGCTTTCTCCCTAGATGGTTGTACAAATTTCTTTAACCTTTCCAACTTCTTTCAAACATAATAACCCAAAAGGAGGGGTTTAGAAAGAAAAAAAGTTTAAACAGGAATTCCTCTTAAAATTTTTTGTACTGTTTGAAATTTTCATACATTTATATAATGTGTTTTGATAAAATTTAATGAAGGTTAGAAGTACTGAGTGCTTCCTATTGGAAGGAAATTATTTAATATTGCCATAGATAAATCAACACAATGCAGTCACCACATCTGAGTTAGATTAGAACCTACAGAGTTCTTGGTAACAGGAGCACCAAGTGCTAGATGGTTTAAAATAGATGTCATATGATACCAATTATAACTCAGTAAAATTTTGCAGCCCTAAGAACCAATGCCGAGAATAAGCCAAAATGGATGATGGTCCTGTTTTCTATGGCTTTAAAAACATTTTTATTACAATGTTTGCAATGTTTTTTTTTTTCAAGCTTTTGATTAAAGTGTTTCTGGCTCTCCTAACCCATTTCTATATCGTCAAAGGAAATAGAAAAGAAGCAGCTAGGATAGCAGAAGAGATCTATGGTGGACTTTCAGGTAAAGATATATTACATAATTTTATTCCCAATATCTCAAAAATTCCTCCTAGCTAATCTGTATGAATAGTGTTTCTAGAAGGCAAGTTTTCCTTATACTTTGGTCTTGAGTGGGTATTTTAAAAATTACCTCTCAAAGAAGCAAATGATGTTGGCTGCAGCAATTTGTGAAGGATTTTCAGCTTTATTTTCTTAAGAGTTAGTGGTTCTATTTGCAACTATTGTTTAAAAAGTAAGCAGAATATCGGGTTTTAAAGACTATCTTGAGAAACTTCATTTGTAATGGCCGAAAGAAGTACTTATATAGCATTATTTTTTCTTCAATATTTTTCATCAAACTGACAGGAAAGAGCATTTTAATAAAACCAAATTTCCTCAGGAAACAGAATGACCAAATAATTTTATTTAAGCTAGTAAATGTGGCTCTCTCTCTCTCTCTCTCTCTCTCTCTCTCTCTCTCTCTCTCTGTGTGTGTGTGTGTCCCTTGCAATCACTTATCACAGGAAAATTTCACTAAACCTGTTTGTATGTTGATAACACTATACAGAGCACCACAAGAAAAGGTTATTACAATATGCAATGCAAAGATGTGGACAAAACATCTTAAAGTTTCATGCTTTGTAGAGAACAGTTTACATTCCTTTCCAGAAACAATTCATCTTTATCGTAGCTGAGATGTTGCAAAAGTAACTGAAGCAAAAGTTACTGCTGTGACTGCCCCTTAATGGAAGAGGAGTATTTATTCACAACCAGAGCTCAGAATTCCCATATGTATTTTTAGTATTCACAGGGGTTCCAGGATTGCATCATGTTTTATCTAGTATCTGTTTCAATTTGCATCCAGGATTCTCTTTCAAAATAGACTTATGCTTTGCGATTCCGATATATTAGATAACCTGAAAAACACTATACAGCAGTGGTCTTACACAAAGAAATAAGACCTCCAACCAAAGACAAAGCATCAGAATGCTTCAAGTAACTGGTGAAGAAAGTGTCAGAAGGCCTGGACTATGGAAAAATATTTCTTTTGGGGATTATATTTGTCACACATTTCAGGGAGGTATGTAACTTTGGTGAAAAAAATAATGCTTCTCTTTAGCTTCAAATTATGCATGCATCTGGAAAGCTATGTTCTAATTTATCAATTTTGACAGGGAACTTCTAGAATTTTCATTAGTAATTTTCATGGTCTCATATATAGTATCCTCATGATTTAGATTAGGCAAAGTCTAACAGAGACAACATAGACAGCGTATGTAAAGTGTTTTTCTTTCTTCGTCCAATTGCTCCTGTGCATGAGTCCTATCTCTGTGGTCCCAAGTGAAGTGCTCTCCTAAGAGTTTTATAGTACTCAGAACCTATGTAAGCATGCTTTAAATTTAAATCTGGAGCCCAAATTCGAATCTCTTAAATAGAAATATACTCATTCACTCTCTAGTCCAGTTGTCTTTACTTATTTAAGCTCATGGACTATTACTTATTTTCAGATATTGTTCAAAAGAGGCAGTGATGAGGATAGTACACATAAACTCAATTTATTTCCTATATATATGTATGTGTCTACATATATGTATGTGTGTCCCCATACCCCTCGCATGTATGATAGTGCATTCAGATTTCATATGCTTATCTATAATTATGTGGCAGTAATATGCCAGAAGCAGTAGGGTTTTTAAATGATTCTAACAGTTGTTTTTCTTTTGACATTGTTAGAGACTTCCTATGTAAAACAACAACGTGATTCTGTGAACATGTTATATTTAAACCAGAAATCATCTTTGCAGTTCATTTGTCAGACAGAAGTTTGTTGAGAAAATATATGATGGCTAGTCAGTAAGTTAGTTAATTGACTTGCAGAAGTCTCGGTTTGAATGCTAACTTTCTTAATTTTGATAGCATATTCCATTCCTGTAAACTCTGGCCAGTAATGTTAAAAACAAGAGGAAGGAAGGAAGAAAGAATTTAGCCAGGGTAGAGTTTCCACTTTCTTAGATTCTAGGCACTTTGTTTTTAGGAAACATCAGCTGATACCTCAACCTTCATTAAGTGTATTAATTTATTTATCTATTTACATACTCATTTTGGCTGTAAAATCTCTTCAGAAGTTTTTTTAAGTTTTATAGCCTGCATTAATTATTTTATATGTCTTTGTGGTTTAAACCATTACATTTGCATATAACTCAGAGTTGAGTTAGCTACAGTTTAATATATATAT